CTACACGTACATTTTTAACCATTAAACTAAAGTTGAAACTATTCTCGAGGGAAACAAAAAAGACAAATTCTGTTGGTAAAAGTGATGGATGGTTAAAATAATATAATTTGTTTTCTTTTTAAGTAACATTTCTAAACAGACATATAATAATCAACAGGCACATGTGAGAGTATATGACCTGAAAGCCCAGGCTTTGTGTGTTTGTGCATGTGTCTCCGTGTGTGTGTTGCTTCAAACACAACTTTTTTTTCTAATGGGAACAACATGTAATGGTGTGTGACTGAGGGCTGATACCAAGCTGTTCATATATAAATAGGACCTCCCTTCAACAAAGCTTCCACCGGCAGAACTGATAATTCTCTGTTACTGCATCCCAAGTGTGGGCAATGGCCCACTACTGGATCTTAAGGGTATTACAGGTATAAGTCAAACTACAGTATAAACATAGGAAACACGTTTAAGTAATCATGATGTCTTACTAAGGTGTTTTTAAGTTTTTGCAAGTTTTATTAAGTAATGTAATAGGCTATGGCTTTGCATCTGTTAAAGCTACATTCGTTTTTCTTTACCCACAAGGGAAATCACGTTGACACGTTGTTTATCTATCAAGTCTAACTAAGGATTTTTCTAAATGTGGTTGTACAGGGTATTGACATAACACTGTCCTTGCCAAGTGAGCAAATTCAACACTGACTACTGCCAAAGTTGGTCTGAAAGATGGATACTCCATTCCACTGATAAGGACGTGGTAAGGGACAGATGGAAAAATAGATTTATTTTTAAACAAAAGGCTCATTCATTGATGTTTGCATCTGCTTAAATCTACAACATTTAGGATTAAGAGAATATTTGTTTTCTTTCCAACACTTACTGACTCATCCTCTCACTTCAAACCTTCTCAGATTTGCAGGTCTATACTTGTCAAAGTGTCTAAAGTTTAATTACAGCAGACAGAAAAAAGACAACTGATATTTGTTAGTTTCCTCTGACCTTGAGGATTTTACATGGAAACATGTAGTATTATTATAAATGTTAAATAAATAATAAATTGTAATTCAAAACTAGTTTTATGAAATTGTAACCTAATCAGGATGATGAAAATCACAAGTACTTTGCCGTTTTCACTGCGACCGCACTCATACAGACTAGAACCAATCTGTGTTATTAGACATTTTTTGCATAATCAAATGAAAAGCCAAGGAGATCAACAATCAGAAAATGATTGTATTTGAATGACTGTGACATTAGACATTTCCCTTCTGAGACAGAGACGGAAAAAAGGGTTTTCTCAGTTTCATTCACAAACTGCTTTCCAGGAAGACTGTCTTCTAGTAGTTGTTTGATACATGCATTTGCCCAATGAAAACAAATGACTCTGGAGGCTGTGCTATCAGTGACTGCCATTTAAACAAAACAATGGATGAGCAGAAGCAGGAGTAGCCTCTGTGTCTTAGGTGAGACACACTAACGGCAACATCTGTTTAGTCTGACTTGTGTGTTCCTATTGGTGTGTGTTAAGGGGGTATCTGTGTCACAGTGAAGAATGAAGGCATTGAAGACAAAGAGGCGGAGGAAGTGATGAGTAAAAGAGTGAATTAGAGAGGGAATTCAGGGACTTTGACTCTTTTGTACAGGATTGTTCTGCATTTTCCTCTTGCCGAAAATTTGCTAATCATAGTCTTTTCTTTTTCTTTCGGTTTTGTCCCTTTTTTTTTCCATGGGTTGCCACAGTGAATCATTGATTTCCATCTCTCCCTGTTCTCTGTATCTTCTACTCTGACTCCAACTATCTGCATGTCCTCCCTCACTGCATCCATATATCTCCTCTTTGGCCTTCCTCTCTTTCTCCTACCTGGTAGCTCCATCTCTAACATTCTTCTACCAATGTATCCACTGTCCCTCCTCTGCACATGTCCAAACCATCTCAATCTGGCTTCTCTAGCTTTTTCTCCAAACCTTCCTGTCTGTGTTGTCCCTCCAATGACCTCATTCCTGATCCTGTCCATTCTTGTCACTCCTAAAGAGAATCTTAGCATCTTTAACTCTGCCACCTCCAGCTCCGCCTCCTGTCTTCTGCCTATTGCTACTGTCTCTAAACCATACATCATGGCTGGTCTCATCACCGTTCTGTAAACTTTTCCCTTCACCTTAGCTGACACTCTTCTGTCACAGATCACTCCTGACACTTTTCTCCAGCTGTTGTCATTGTACCTACATTCAGAGTTCCAAACTTCAGACCAACACTTATATATACTTACTATACTTCTTCTTTTCCACTTACTTTCTTTTACTCTTAACCAAACGCCATCCTCTTCTTCTCTGTCTTTGAACAACAGTAGCCTAATTTCCATCAGTGTCCTGTAGGTCAACAGCACTGTTGGCGGTCGTTTTTGACCCGGGCACTGACCGATCCGGTATGGAAAACGTTTTAATTTGCATTCTTTGTTTTGGTTTTACACCGGATGCCCTCACCATTTATCCGGGCTTGGGACCAGCACTATAAAACACTGATCTGTGTGCCCTAATGGCTGGTTGCTCGTCATAGTAATAGACCAAAAAAAAAAAAAAAAAAAAAAAAAAAAAAAAAAAAAAAAAAAACAAAGAAAGAAAGAAAAAAGCACTTAGGCTGGAGATTTTGAAGAACTTGCAAACAGATGTCAATTTCTGTTTAGTATGACTTAGATAATAAGGCCCAGAGTTAGAGTAAGAGTAATTGCAGCATGATTAAAATAAAAACCCATCTGGAGATTCTCCTAACAGTTCAAAGTGAATAAAAAGAGATAAAATCATGGGAACAGAGGTGGCCAAGAACCCAGAGAGACACACCAAGAGGAAGTGTGTGTTATGTACGTGTGTGTGTATATGTGTTATGTAGTCAGTGCTGAGTCATTGCTGGGCTGGCCAGGCAGATAGAACCAGGCTTCTGGGGGGGCCAGCTGCAGGGGGAGCCGGGGGCACGCACTGAGCATGCTCTGCATCAAGTACAGGAAGGGAATTAGTTGTTGTGACAGGAGACATCCAGAGCCGTAGTGACGCAATGTTTCATGATGCCAAGTTTCAGCTCCGGCCATTGACGTAGGCGTTCCTTGGTATGTTGATTGATACTAAGGACAAAAGTGATGCCCTATAGAATATTAATATTCAGTATTAACACCTTTTTTTGACTGCATATGTTGATGGTTCAGGACATGCGAAGGGAGGGAGATGTTAGACCATAGATAAGAAAACGTGTTGCTCCATGTTTGGGCCAACCACAGAAAGCTCTCTCCCTCTCTTTTTTGTGGTTTTCTGTGATCTGTAGCACCCCAGTCTAACTCCCCCCACACCAGCCCACACACCCCTGTATACACGCACACATACACGCACACACAGTCACACTTCCTGTATTTAGAGTAGACCCTTCTCTACTGCACTGGAGGAAGATGGTATGTACTGCAGGCGTTCATTCAGTTTGTGGACGATAAACAATTGTTCGTATGACTGTAGCTGATCAGTTTTTCAAAGGGAATGTGACAGCATTGTGTTGCTATGTAGCCAAAATGTCATTATGGTTTTGTAGAGGTCTATGGTTTTCTGCAGGTCTTAGATGGTGAGAACTTCCTTTTTTGTTATATCATTTCACCTGACCTTTGTTGTCATATCCAACAAATGTTACTGAAGAATGATGCCATGCTACAGTACAAAGTTAGATTTACTGTGTATCCCTAAATATCTGGAAAGACATAAGGAATTGTTTTGTAATACAGTACTGTTAAGGTATTACATTTAAGAAGCCCAACACTATATCACTCTGAGTCTACCCCAGAAACCTCATTGTTGCATCAGCTGAGACCTGTCTCAGTTCACTTAACATATGTCCTCCTGCCGCTCTTTGTTCACCAGGTTCGTGGGTACAGACAAAACTACCAAGAGGTATATGAAAAGATGAAAGGCTGACACTGAGTACATATTTGGCTTTTGGGAACATTTATCTATAAAGAGTTAACCAACCACAATTTGCTGCTCTTTCTAGAAATAACAATACAGAAAGATGAAATATAACAAAAATAGGAAGATTTTAGAAGAAAAGAAGAAAAACCCCAATGACACATGTAGAGGAGTGATAGCGAACGGTACAATAAAACTGTTCTTTAATACTGAGAAACAGCGTCTAGACTGAAAAACACTCACAAATACAGACTCTGGATAATTAAATGTGATTTTTTTTATGTGAAACTGTAAAAACAACATGATTCTGAAAAAGGACAAAAAAAATGGTCATAACATAAAACAGTGTTAGTATGGAGTGATGATCATCTAAAAATAAATATGTGAAGAACAAACATTTACCCGTCTTTGAAAATGTACCCTTTGTTAGAAAAATACAAATATTCATTTTTTTCTATTATTTAAAACAGCTAAAAGGATGTCTGTCAGTCATTCAAATACTTCAGGGAGGTTCTACACAGGTTTTGCTTCAGTATAGCACTAAAATAATTGGGTTCATTGGGTTCTGCTACACTGGCAAGTGACTCTTAATGAAGGTTATAAATGTGTAAGCAGGTGTAATTTTTTTTTTTTACATACAATAATAAATTGCAGGTGTGACAATTTCAAAAATATAGTATCGTCACCTGCTAAAGAATATTAACAGAAAGGGGAAGGATCCATATCGTTGTTGTTACATAATGAAGGTTTCACCTTCTGGCTGTTTTTTTACCCCTCCAAAATATACAATAGAACAGATGGTGGAGCAGGGGGTATGGTCCACTGAGAAAAATTCCAAATGTACTTCCTTATTCAGAATCTCGTTCACTGTTTATTTATTGTTGTTCTTATTCACTTCATTTTCTCAGGTTTTGTCAGGTTATTCAAACTGACATATTTTAATTGGATTCTTATACGTTTTTAATTGCGAAAAAGTTTTAAAAAATTGATTTTATTATTTTTGCAAAAGTGAGTTTTAAAGTTTATTTTTTTCATTGATCAGTTCTGTCTTATCTTGCTTCTAATTGCATATATTGTTTTCTCTTTCCCCCTTTTAAACTCATATTTTTCTCACAACCATTCTTTCCAAATTCTTGTTTTCAATTGACTATTGGCTCCCGCCTTCTTTTAACTGTCCTTTCCTCCTTTTTTCAACCCTTCTCTTCAACATTTTTTTTCTGCAGTGATTCTCAGCTGGTTACTGCAATGAATAGTAACACTATCCATCCACCCAACACCACCACAACAGCAGGAGGAGGTTCAAGTATTCCAGCGCCCCAAAGAGGATGGAGGGAATTCTGTGAGCTGCATGCCATGGCCACTGCCCGGCAACTAGCCGGACACTACCGGAGCTTTGCCAGAGAGTGGCCACAACATGAGATCCTTCCACCAGAGACCTTTTCCGAGCAGTTCACTGACCTCTTTCAGAAGCACTTTTGCTGTGAGGTTGACCATGATGGCTCACCTCTCAGCCAAAACAGATGCTCTACCTCTACAAGTAGTTCCACTAGTTCCCCACACACTGAGAATGGCCAATCATGGATCACCTCTTGGTCTGGGGTTCAGGACTATCGGGAAGCAGGACGTCAAAGTTGTGGGACTGCCCCATCCACTTTGATGCCCCAAAAGGTGGAGCCCCTGGTGCTTAGCCTGGAACATGAACAGTGTGCTGCAGGAGACCCCTTGTCTGGAAATACTGTGGTGCTCAAAGGATCGAATCTTATCTTTGGTAGTGATGGCAACGAGGAGGTCTCTTGCCCCAGTCATCATCAGGGGTATGAACTGTGGTCGTCTAACTCCTCAGCCTCCTTCCCTGGACACCTTGAGCCCACACACGTCTCTGTCAGTGAGATTGAGAAGACTTTGAGCAGACTCTTTAAGACACTTCCTGAACCCCCCTTAAGCCCAGACCTGTCCCCTGGCAGCCCCGGCCCCACTAACAGCAACAGCAGTCCCCCAAATAGCAGTGACAGTGTAGCTGAGAATCCCCCAACAAGTGAGGAGTTGCCCTCCTCCTCCTCCTCCTCCCACTCTTCTTCATGTCTTAACTCAGAGGCTTCTCCACGGGGCTTCTCAAACAGGTTCATGAGGAGAGTAACTTTTCACTTCCTCAATCGTTTTCTGTGGTTTCGCAACAGAAGCATGAATCAAAGGAGGTCAGAGGTCAGTGGCTGCTGCAAAGAAGGCCAGCTGAAGTATATACTGGTGGATGACACTATCTCAGACTCTCAGCCAATGTGGAAACGCTGCAGACTGCTGGTCAGGCGAATCACAAGTGCTGGCAGAGGAGGAGGAGGAGGAGAAAGAGGAGGAGGAGGAGGAGGAAGAGGAGGAGGAGAAGAGAGGTACCAGTTGGAGCTCTATGATCCTCCAAAGGTAGGAAAAGTTGTTTGTGTCCTATGTCCTTTAGCAGGGTTTTAAGGGAGCGAGGCCATTTAAACTAAAAGTTGAGTTTTTATTTTAAGACTTCGGTCTTAAGCAAATTCCTTCTTGCAATGAAGGCATATCACTCTTCTTTTATCGATGGTGCCATCAGGGCGTTTTTGAAATGTAAATTTCCCGTCCATTAGATGGACAACTCGCTACTCCATTTTCACATCTTCTCATCGCTCTTCACTCTGTCCCCCCCAAGGTCAATTGAAACCTATCAGTTTATGCTACAACAAGCCAATCAGTGTCCACTTCAGGTGTGACTGATCCATTTTTTTCCACCCCCAACAACTCAAACACAAGAAGCCCAACACATATTTAGTTTTTATTTCAAGACTGGTTTCTTCCCCCTCATTTTTTTATCAGCTCTTACATTTTGGTTTCCTTCTTACCCTCCATCATGGTTAAACAACCCAGACACTGCTGTGCAAAACATGGCTACAAATGTACTGGGTTTTATTGCTAGACTGGTGCTTTCAAATCTACCTTGGTCTAACACCTGTTCTTTTAATTGTACATAAATAATGACAAAGAAGACACCATAAACAAAACATGTGTGCTGAATTGATGGTCTCAATCAAGACCTTGCCTCCAGTGGAAAAATAAAACAAACCAAAAAATGAAGTAATGTTGAACAGGCTTTGGTAGGAAAAGGAGCTAAAGAAGAAATTAGCGATGATACCATCCTCAGCCTGCAGGCTAAGCAGCACTGACACTTGGTAGAGCTCCATTATTTGTTTCACGCTGGTCCCTTTTGAAGATTGTGTTTGAGATAGTTTGACCTTTCACCCAGTTAAAGCAACCAGAGGTAACTGAGTTAGTCTGAATAATGGAACATCTATGTGAGTGTCATTATGATTATCAGTGCTCTGTTTATATATATATTCTACTTGGAGACTCAGCATTTGTCCTGTAACACATTTCTGTGTTGAATTGGCTCAAAGAACCCACAACATTCATGCCTTCAGTTATAGTTGTGCCTCCTACATTATTTCCTGTTTGTTTGGGGTTTGCATCAGTCAGTCACCATATTTGTTTCAACATTTCCCTGGTCTCACCATAATATTTTGGAAATTGTTAATCTATACATACTTATTTTTGTATTTATTTATTTTTATATTTATTTATAAATAGTATTTTTCTTTCAAAAAGAGAGTTATATGTCCTGTGGTGATCTTCAGAGAGCAGCAGCATCTCTCTCTCTCTCTCTCTCTCTCTCATTCTCTTTATTTCTCTCTCTCTCTCTCTCACCCCGTCGTTCTCTTTCTCTATTGTGAATAACTGACTCCTCACATGAGACATAAAACCCTGCACTGTTTCCAGATGTGGACAACTGCACGTGTGTCTGCTGTGCATTCCCCGGAGATCCTCCAAACCAGTAATCAAAGTGGTTTAGTAAACTGTCTCATTGATCAGCCTTCAGCATCTGCAGCTTTCTCCACACAATATTGCAAGTGATATAAAAATAAGTTTAATAGTCTTTGACAGTATTTCTTTTCTATTAAATGCTTTATATCACCCTCTCTCCTGTCATACGAGGTAAATTTCAGGCTAATTTGTTGTTTAGTTTACCAAGTGAGATGAATTAAAGGGAAACTGACTACATTAAGCAGTGCACATCTGAAATATCTTAAGGTTTATAAAAAAAACAAATATCTCTGTAAAAATAAATACATATATTGTAAAACAATTTGTCTGAAATTTGAAAATGAAAAAAACATTCGCCCACACACAGGCAAATGCACTTAAGGAAAACCTTTCCTGAGCAAATTCAAACTGGAATTTAATGAGCAAGTGAAAAGCAGCAGAAAGGTGTTAAAGTTGCTGCTGGTGTTTTAAGAACCTTAAGGTGCACGAACCTTTAGAAGCATGCATTTGTAATAAACCGTGGATCTTCTTATACCTTATTTGAACCAATGCTCAAAAAGTACATTTGTAAAGACATCTCTGAAGAACGTACAACAAAACAAAAAGGCGGGGGGGGGGGGGGGAAGCTGGTACAGTGCAGTGTGATTTGGGTGGCGGTCATGGAGACCCAGTGATGGATAAACAGATTAAAATTGATGGATGGATGGACGTGTTAAGTGCTGTGAGGTGTAAGTGTTAGACTGTGGTTAACACGAGATTCAATGAAGGTTAGACTGTAACTGGTAATGGTTAGAGATATAGTTCTTATTAGGCTGCACAAGTGAGTCGGAGACACTGCAGCCCAAAAAAAAGTGAAAAGTAGAACTGTATCTGTGCTGTTTCTAGTAAAGCTGTAATTGTGCTGACACTTTTTTGTTTTGTTTTTTTGAAAAATCCTTCTGAGGACAATCTGAGAGTAAAAGGGTTATTCCGAGTCAGATTAGAGTTAGATTAAAAAGGTAGTTTAGGCATGTTTGTATTGGTTACAGTTAGGTTAAGGGACCAGGAAATGTTTTCAGAAAAATACAAAATGATCTGTGTCTGTAAGTGTGCATTCACTTTGTTATATATTTAGCAGCCTGTACCTCCAGCTCCAGACCGAACCATGCATAGAATTGTGTGGCCATGAGTGTGTTTGGTTGTTTGTGTGTGTACACATAAGCACGTGTTTATCCTGAATAGGAATGCACTGCAGGACCTGCTCCGCTCATTGTTCAAAGAGTGTGTGTGTGTGTGTGTGTGTGTGTGTGTGTGTGTGTGTGTGTATGTGTGCGTGTGTGCGTGTCGGGATGTGTGTGTGTGTGTGTGCGCGTGTGGCTATGTGTACTCTTGGCAAGGCTGACTGAAGGCCCAGAAAATAGCCTTAAAAGGAAGAAGAGCTGTAGACGAGCATGTACACATTTTTACAAATACAGAAGTTTGCACGTGTTCGAAAGAGGTAATATAAACAAATGAGGTGGGATATGTTGCTGCTCAGATGTGTTTTAAGGTATTTTTGTGATGCAGCGTGAGTTGTTTTTTTTTACCCATAGTGTGTATTTTTATTCTCATTTGTCTTGAAAGGAAAATGTGTCAGGCTGGTTAATTAGCAGCATGTTTTTCACTGTGGAAATGTTTTAGTCAAGACTAGAAATCTCCTGTCCAATCATACCACAACTGTTTATTAGCTTATTGTAAATATGCCGTAAAGACACAGAGGGGAACAACTAGGATTAATTATTCTGTAAAATATTTAAATATAACGTCAGTTACAAAAAATACAATGTTAAAGTTGTGAAAATGTGGAGTGTTTGGTCACACAGACTGAAAGTTGAAAATTTAAAAACGGATGAGAATGTATATATTTTATAGGTGGAGTGGGGCGACAAGGACAAAAATCAAGAAGTGGTCTGTGTTCATGGCTGCAGGTTTGTCCTGTCATTGTGAGGTTATTGTCAGTCTAGTCTAGCAAATTTCCACAAATAATACGTTTACAGTCTGTTTATATATATATATATATTTTAATTTCAGTGATTTTGTTGTTGTATTTATAGTGCTGTCAATAGAAAAAGAAATTGAGAGATTAATTAATTATGATGTGTAATTTATTGATCTAATTAATCTAAATTTTCTCACCTAAAAATGACTGAGAAAGGCCCTCAACTTGAGGTATTTTATATTTAAATTCATTACATTATTGTGGCACATCAAAAGATTGACATATAACCAAAAAAATGGCTTTATGAAGTGTTTTTAACAGACAGAACAGATGCAGTCATAGCCATTTACATTACACTGTATTTCAGACTAGTCTTAAGTGCTGCCTGCAACCTTTAGTTACGACTATCATGGAGGAAGAATTGTTGTTCTTTTCTCAATATTGGTTTTTTTTCGCCCTCCTACATCTTTCTGATTTTGGTCATGGCTGTAGTCCTGCACAGTGGCTTGTATGATGGCTCATTGGACGCGGTTCACAACACCTCTGCTAACCCGTCATTTTCCACTATGTTTATCAGCCTGCAGTTCATCGCTATACACTTGGCTATAACATTCTCCAGCCTGTTGGTCGCAGACTTAGAAGAGCTTTGCTATGGCTCGCTAAATTGCTAATGTCTTTGCTGCTAACGTTAGCTGTTGCTGCACTTGTGACTGGGTGCTTTGGGTTGATGTGGTATGCTAAACTATAGGCAATTAACAGGAAATGCAGCAGTAGTTTTCAGATTTTATGAGATTTTTCTAAATATCCATGTATTGCTAATTAGGGGGATACAAACTAAATTACACATCAAATAATAGCTGGTTAGTTATAGTGAAGAGCAGTAATGAGAAGAACACACAACTGTGTTCTTATGTTTAGCACACAATCGGCCACAATCTTTTCAACGTTTCAGGAATTTGGTTGCAGAAGTGCTAGAAAGCTTCTCTTGCGGCGGCCAGGACATTGAGTGAGTCTTGTGTTAAATACAGATGTGTGCGTGGGTGTACATGCATCCTTGTGTATGTTCGTTAGATGAATGTGTGTTCACCACATGTGTATATGCTGTAGAAATTTTACCCAGACAAGTTGTAAAATTTTGATGAATGGGCAACGCGTGTTTGTCTGTAGTTCATTACAACACTGCTGATTTCAGTTCTCTCTCTCACTCTCTCTCTCTCTCTCTCTCACACACACACACACACCTCAGTTTTGTTTTTGCACTTGCATTGACAATGAGCTTGAAGGATTAAGGCTGAATAGGAAGTGATGACTTGTCAGGGAAACGGTGAGTCATATAGAGATTTCACCATGCTACAAACCACAGGGTTCCAAAGAACTCTTCTAATGTCATTCACATCAAATGATTTTTCACATGGCTTGTACTACATAGGAGAGAGCATGCCTTAACAACTACAAACTACAACAGTAAATAGATATTTGCTGCGTGGAGCCAGTCGTTCTGTGCATGAAATGTAAAATGATTCATGTGCAGATTTTTACTTGAAAAGCTCCTGCTGGGGGCAAAATCTGCCAGTTTATAGACCAGATCAATTTCACTGATCATGTTTATATAAACCAGACG